ATTTTGGGTTGGAAATAGGGATGTAACACGACTAGATCTTGAGAAGGGCGGTGGTGGCGATACCATTAGCGGTTAGAACTCAATGCAGCAACGATGGGGAAGAAATGATGTATAGTGAAGTGGGCGCTAAAATACGTCAAAGAAGGCAGCAGAGGCTATGATGGATGTTTATATGAGAGAAGTTTTATTTTGGAGGAGAAAGAGGAGAATGAGGTTGGAGAAGGGGGGGGGGGGGAATTAACAGAGAAGCGCCTCCGTCGACTATTGGAGAAGGTTGTCGGAGGTGGAGGGCAGCGGCTACAGGTTGTGGTGAATAGTAGGATTTTAACCTAGAGCTCTGATACTATGTAAGATAATAGAATATTTCATTATTTGTAACATTCCGTTAAAAATTAATTAAATAAATAATAAATTCTAAAGCCCCGAGATGTAATTTTTATTATTATTATTATATATTGTTGTAGCCAAAATCAATAATATTTAGCGGGATGTTTGTTTCAAGGAGTTAAATGTCATAATTTTGGATTTTTGGAGGTTAAAAGTGTAAGTTTCAGATTTATTTTGTAAACATTCTCAGAATTCCGGGGGTGTTTGGTATCTTTTAGACTTATATTGAATAGATTTTGGAGGCTAAGAGGCTGCATGGTAACTATTGGGAGTTATGTTGAAAAGATTATGAGTGGGAGGGACTAGAAGTGTCAAATTCATAGGAAGATTTTATGGAACACGGGATTAAGCCTCTGCCTTCTTTCCCTCTCATTGTATCACCTAAACCCTAACCCTATCTATACATCTTCAGCCGCCACTACCTTGGAACACCCTCATCCGCCGTTGCTTTGTCGATGAACGCCACCACCGCAACTCTGCTACCGGAAACGACGTGAGCAACCGGGATGACCGCCAAAGACCGAAGGTTGAGTTGAGTTGTTACTGTGTGGGTCGTGAACGACTGGAAAACTTTGGGTAAGGCCATCTGCCATCTTTCTCTCTCCTCTCCTTCACTCTTCTTGGTGGGTTGACATCGGGAACATCGATTGTTACCGCCGGTGGCCCTATGGTCGCCGCTTCTACTTGTTCGAGCCTCCTCAGCCGCCTAGTTGGTGGTTGGAAGTTGTGGTCTCGTGCCTTGGATAGATGAGTGTTGTTGTTGGAACCGTGAAGTGTTTGTGGGTGCTGGATTGGCCAGAAAACCCGAGGAAAAAACCACCATGGGTGCCAACCATGGTGGCTGCCGCCATATCATCTTCTCCTGCCGCCACTAGCCACCGTGAGGAGGTGGTTGTGTGCGTGAATTAGTGTGGGTAGGAATGTAGATCATGAGCCAAATTCTATATATGGTTTCCTCTTGGACAGGAAAACGAAGGAAACTCATCACCACCACCGTGAGGTGGTGGCCACTACCTGTTGTCGCTGTTTCGTCACTACTAGCCACCATCTTCGGTGGTTGTGGGCTTTCGGGTGCATTTGGACTGATGTTTGGAGTGCTTTTGGTGTTGCTTTGGCCTAAGATCTTAACCACCACCACCACGAGGTTGTGGATACTGCCATGAACCACCGCCAACCACCACTACCTAAGGTGGTAGTGGGTGGTACCCGACTTGTTAAACTTTAGTTAATGTAAAAACTTAACTATTGGATCAATTGATTTTTGATTTGGTTGGAAACCCTAATTAGGGTTTAGAAAACCCTAATTTTAGGGATGTGAGTTTGTTGGGACCCGCATTTTGGACCATTGGATTTGGAATTTTAAATTACGCCCCAAACACATTGTATGTTTGATCTAGTGGAGTGATGGACTTAATGAATTAAGTCCTTAATGGATTAAGTCCTTAATGGGTTAAGTAGAAGCACCTAACCCTAATCTTCATTTTATGTGAAAAACCCTAATTGGGTTTGGGTTATTGTTGGGCCATTTCTTGGACTAGGCTGCTGTGGGTGTTCGTGGGCCAAATGGGAACAAGTTTGTGGACTAAGGAAATTATTAGGCTTTAGGATAAGGCCCGTTGGAAAGGATTGGGCCCAATTTGGAAAATTGGGCCACAAGTGGGCTAAAATGGGGCCTTGATGATTATGAGATATTCGACCATCGGAATGCCAAATGTTTGGACTAGAATAAATGATTGGGCCTTAAGATAAGACCATGTAGAGGTTTGGGCCCAATTTGGAAAATTAGGCCATATGTTGGGCCTTGGTTCATTATTTGACTTTTGGGCCTTCAGAGGGTGAGTTTGGGGCCTTGGTTTTGAATCAAGATAGGTTGGGGGTAAAGTAGTCTTTTACCCCAATCAAGGACTTATGGTTGTGTATTGGAACCCAATTATTAATTGGGTGTTGTTTTGATGTTGACAGTTTGGGAATCTGTCAACCAACAGCTAGAGTTTTACCTGCGGGACTTCAACAGTGTGGGGTGAAGCTCCTTACCATACCAATGGGTTGAAGGTACCAATGTTGGCCCAATTATTTAGTTGTGGTGATTATTGCAAATGTGCTATTAATACATTGTGTATTTATGTGAAGACCATGTGGGGGTTCCCATGGCAATTAATTATATGTAGTATGTCATTTGTCTTCGTAACTCTTGCATGTAGTGGTTACTTGCGAATGTGTTGTCAGTATGTTATGTATTTTTGCGACGACCATGTGGGGTTCCCATGATAGTGAGCTAAGACCATGAGTGGGTTCCTGTGGCACCCAGTGTAAGATATTGGAGGGTTTCCATGGCATCCTTATATGTTTGTGAGACCGTGTGGGGGTTCCCATGGCAGTGGGATAAGACCACGTGGGGGTTCCAGTGGCACCCGATGTAAGACCTTGGAGGGGCATCCTTGTATGTTTGAATGTATGGTTCGATTGGTAGCTGGTGAAGACCATGCGGGGGTTCCTATGGCACCCGGAGTAAGACCTTGAAGGGTTTCCATGGCTTCCCTATATGTTTATATGCATGGCTTGTGTAGTTAATGTGATTTATGTGATTATATGTATAAGACCTTGGAGGGTTTCTATTGCATCCCTATATGTGTATATGTACGGTATATGCGACTGATATGGCTTATGTGATTATGTGGGGTATGCTCAAGGGAACTCACTAACCTTCGTGCTTATAGTTTTGTTTATGGTTTTAGGTATAATCGGTTTGGAAAGGAAGGGCCCGACTTGATCACAGCGTACACACCCGTGTTTTCCGCATTATGAGATTGTGGGATATAACTCTGATAAATTTTTTAAATTACGTAATATTTTTGAATGGTTGGATTAAGTAACATTTGTGTTTGACTATAATGAAAAATGAAATTTTTACCTTTGATTTTTGGGTCGTTACATTAATGGTGAAGATTAAGCCTCATATAAATAGGAATGCATAAGGGATCTAACCTAAACCCTAAGGGTTAAACACCAATCACTAACAACCTTGATAAAAATAATAAAATTTTCATTAGATAAACTCTGACATACTAAAAATTTTGTGGGATTGTTTGATATGGGCATGGGCACGGGTGAGTGTTTGTGGTTGTGGTTATAGAGTGGATGGGTGGATGTCGGTGTTAGCGTAGGCATGTACGTGTATGTGTGGGTGTGGGAGTTGGTGGGGATGTAAGTATGGGTAAGGGTGTTAGGGTGGGTGGATGCATGGATAAGGTGAGGCAGGGTGTGTATACGGGTAGGGTGAGCAAATAGGGTATGTATGAATGTGGGGTACGATGGGGGTGGGCATAAATATGTAGTTATGAGGTTAGGTGGGGCTAGATAGGTGTGTAGGTAGGTATGGTTGTAGGTGTAGGGTCGGGTTGGAGATCAATGTCGAGGTGGACTTATAAGTGTCAATGTATGCTTATATATGTATGTGTACTTATGGGTTTTAGTGGGGCTAGGTAGGGTTGGGGAGTGGAAGTTGGGCGTGGTGGGGATCTGTGGTTTATGGTGGGTGTGGATGTTAGGGTACTAGGGTGGTGTGTGGTGAGAGTAGGAGTGAACATTTGGACCTTTGGACCAGACCGGACCAGGAACCGAACCTAGACCAGCATCAATAGGTCCGGTCTAAGGTCCACCAATTTCTGTAAAACCGATATGGACTAAGAGCCGGTCCGGTCCAGTCCAAATACTTACCCTAAGTTATAATAGATAAACTAACTTTTGGTAGGGCTTTAACGAGTTGTACCATATGCACGTAAACTTATACCGGTCCAACGAGTACAAGAACCGAAAAACCCGAACCTAGATCGATTTCAACAAGTTTGATCCAAGGTTCACCGAGTTCTCGCAAATCGGTCCGGTTCGGTCCAAATCTTCACCCCTAGATGAGAGTAGGTGTAGATGTGAGCTTTTGGGTATGGGGATACGTGAATGCCGGTGTATTGAAAAGATAATGATACTATTTTTTATTTAATGAATAATGACCGAATAAAAAATGGTTGATAGACAGACGACTTAATAAAATAATAAAGATAATGACTTGTAACGATAGTAAGTAAGTTTACAATTATGTTTATTTTCGGTCACTTTTTTTAAACATTTGACGGATAGTAAGTAAGTTTACGATTGTATTTATTTTCAGTCACGTTTTTTATATATTTTTTTACATATTTTGCAACCAACTTGCAAGTTTATTGGTTGTAGGAGAATCGTAGGAAACCGGAAAAATCTTTAATTTCCGGTTACAATGTTTTTTTTTGAACATTTTATATAAGTTTGTTGCTTAAATATGTATTTAAAAAAAAAGGATAACAAATGTATACAATTACAAAACATAATTACCGTCGTCCAAATACAAAATACGTCTCAAAATTTACATGGTGCATTTGATCCCTCACGTCCAGCATGTGACTAATGGATAAATCTAGCTGAATTTCATAATCGCAAGTATTACAAAAATACATGTACAAATTATAAGTTATAACATTCTTTTGACAACATATTCATCAATCAAAACAAAATATAGAAACTCAGAATTAAAAAATAAAAATCCTAAATCTTATTATTCTTATTCCACATTATTTCATTTACCCAGTTCATAAGTTTTCATTATTACAAACTTTTTCTACAGTTTTATCAAACAGAATCTTGGGTACCTTTCATCATGAAATTCCTTTCACCCTTTACAATGTCACCAGAAGCAAACGATTCCAATTCCGCCATCTCCTCCGGTGTTAGTTTTACAGACAAAGCTCCAATATTTTGATTGAAGTTTTCAATCTTTGTGGTGCCCGGAATCGGAATCACATCATTTCCTTGGTGGTGCAACCATGCCAACGCTAGTTGTGCAGAGGTGCATCCTTTTCTTGCTGCCATTTCATTTACTCGCTCATATACAGTCTTGTTATGATCAACATTTTGAAATCTTGGCATGTTCTACAATAAGTTTGGATTTTTTGTTTATACTTTATACTCCTCGATGTCATGTTATCAATGATGTTATAATATGATATGCTCATCATAATTCATACATACCTTCCTGAAGTCATTTGGTATCATCATAATTTGAACTTTCTCTCTCAACCCTCGTTCCTTCAAAGCCTGAAAAAGCAATTCAAATTCCTTAAATCAAAATGTGTAGCTAACAAATCGATTAACCGGAACTTCATGACTTACCTTTCAGATGAGAATCTCGTTGGTGAAGGGGCCGTAAACGTTTGAGGTGTCGAGGAAGGTGATGCCGGAGTCAATGGCGTGGTGGAGGAGCTTGATCATATCAGATTCCTCTTTCGGGGGTCCGTGACTTCCGGTCATACCCATACATCCCAATCCCTGTGCTGAAACAACTAGACCTTGTGAACCTAATTTCAATTTTGGCACCTCCGACGCCATGGTTGTTTCTTGATCAAAATTTGGTTAAACCTAATGAGTTTGTTTGCAGGGATGAAGTCATTTAAAAATTGTGGGAGTGAACCAAATTTGGACAACGCAAGTTTACTAATGAGAACGTCAACAGTCTTCGTTGTTGGCTTGCATCCATCGAAAAGTTGAAAGCGACAGAAGTGGATAGGAGACTATGCGTATTGATAAACAAAAATTAGAAAAAACTGTAAATTTGGTTATTTAAAAATTTGTACATAGAGTCTAAAGCTCTAAAATTAATAGTTTTTTTTGTTGATTTTGAGTTTAAAATCTAACAAATTTTTATAGTTTTGGTTATAGAGCATTTGAATGGACTGTTTTGTTCTTAAAATTTTATTTATTTATTTATTTTTTTAATAGAAAAAACTTCATAAATGATTCTTATGGTATTCTGAAATTTAAAATTTAATGCTTAAATTTAAAAAATCTTAGAGATGGTCATTGTAGTTTCAAAACTTTTAAAAAAGATCTTTATTGCTCACTCAGTGATAACTAAATGACATTTTTCATAATTTCACTATCATAAAGATAATT